GTGTGTGTGTGTGTGTGTGTGTGTGTGTGTTAACAACTTGGCATCACTGATTGCAAAGCATTAAACTGATTTTCATAGAAACAATAACTATCTTTTCACACTTATATTTCATTAATTACTTGGTATTTTAAAAAATTATATAACAAATATAGCTGACATAAACAACTTTGGGAATCAACACAAATAATTGTATATGTTTGTCACTTTTTTATTGCTCTGAACAAAATACACTTGATGAGAATAATTTAGAGGAAGAAAAGATAATTTTGAGTTCACAGTTTCAGAGGTTCAGTCCACAGTTGGCTGACTCTATAGCTCTGGGCCCAGAAGGGCAGAAGGGCATGGCAGAGGAGAGCTGCTTACCTCATGGTAGCCAGGAAGCAGACAGAGTGGGAGGAGTCAGGGACAAAATATCTAACCCTCAAGTAATGCCCTCATTGATCCACTTCCTCCAGCCTTGCCCCACCTGCCTATAGTTACCATCTAGTAATCCATCCAAATTATTAAGCAATCAAGTTGACTAATCTACTGATTAGGTTACGGTTCACATAATCTAATCACTTCCTCTCCTGCATTGAGAAAGGAATTTTTGGGGGACCACTTATATTCAAACAATAACCCCCTGGTAAGTATATCTCTCAACTAGTGGGTGCATAATTGCTTGGGCACCTAATTAGATACAAAAGAAGTATATTTGTGGGCCTCAGCTAATCTCTTTGTGGTTTTGATATGAATCTTCCTAATGATTAGTGATGAGGAACATTTTTTTTTTTTGGTGCTGAGAATTGAACCCAGGGCTTTGTGCATGCAAGACAAGTACTCTACCAACTGAGCTATATCCCCAGCCCACCATCTTTTCATATTCTTGTAGGGCATTTTTTGTAGGGCATTTGACTTGTTTGGAAAAATGTTTAAATTTTTTGCCCTTTTGTTTTTCATTTAATTTATTTAATTTTAAATTACATTCTTTTTTTTTTGTCAACACTTATAATTACATTAAGGTCTCATTTCACCCTTTCATGATTAACAAACCAACAAAAAAATTCCAGTTGGAATTTACACTGTCTTATCCATTGCTGAACTTAAGTATTAGTATTTAATGCCATTTCTCTCCAACAAATAATATGGTATAAAATATCTTAAGTCTCCTGGTATGTTTACATTGCATCAAATTAAGGTTAAGCTTGAGATTGACATTCCAAACCAAATTCTAGCAGAGGATTACATGATGTTTTTGTACATATCAAATAGTAAGTTTAAAAAGTGTTTATGGGCACATAATTAAACTGTACATAGAGAATCCTCAATTAGAGTCAATAATTGGCTTATTTAAATATAGATATATTTGATAGTTTTCCAGGTAAGTTCACCACTAGGGAAATTCTAATAATTTAGTTGAACAGTTATATAAACTGACCTAATCAGTACCATTAAGGATTTCTAAATGTATTTTATCATGTACTTAGTATAATACTGTCATGTTAATATTATCAGTACTAAACTGCAGATAAGATAAGTTAAAAACTGTGCAGAAACTGGGCATGCCTATAATCCCAGTGGCTTGGGAGACTGAGGCAGGAGGATCATGAGTTCAAAGCCAGCCTCAGCAAAAAGCAAGGCACTAAGCAACTCAGTGAGTCCTTGTCTCTAAATAAAATACAAAATAGAGTATGTGGCTCAATGGTCGAGTGTCCCTGAATTTAATCCTCAACAGCCCCCCTCCCCCAAAGAACTGTGTAGAAAATCTGAGAACCCTATTTTTACCTTCTGTACATTTTCATTATCTATTTTTTTTCTCTTCAAACCATCTCCTGGGCCAAATGCTACCTTCCACCAGCTCTTAAGGTTCCCTATCAATAAAGGGCATGGTGCATGCCTATAATCCCAGTGATTTAGGAGGCTGAGGCAGGAGGATCTCAAGTTTGATGACAGCCATTTACTGAGACCTCAGCAACTGAGCAGGACCCTGTCTCAAAAACCAACCAACCAAACAAATAAAAAGGACTGGGGATATAGCTCAGTGGTAAAAGCACCCTGGGTTCAATCCTCAGTACCAAAAGGAGCTTATCAGAATAAATTGCATTAAGGATACTACTGGGGGAATTTTTAAAATGGTGGAATAGAGAAGGTTGCTTTTCTGGCTGCTCCATGGTATGAAACCAAGAAAACAGATAGGCAGCTTCTCAACAAGGTGGATGAACAAAAAAATGGGGGGGGGTGGTGAGCATACTTTACTGAAATTTAATAATGAACATTCAAAGCATATTGGAGACTCAGGCAGTTGGATATAACAAAATAAGAAATCCCCTTTGCCATAGCCACTGCTGCATCTGGAGGCACCAGTCAGAATGGTCCCTCTACTTTGCTCATGGAGAGATAAGGGAATTAAAGAACCCAAATTTTTAGGATGCCTAATCCCTGTGGGGACAGAGTTAAAAGATCAAAGACGCTGCCTGACTAAGCTGAAAGGCACAATTTACCATATCCTTGTGCAGGAAAGAAGCCCCATCTCTCCCACTGCATGTGGAAGACCAAGGAAGGGAATGATTTGTAGCTGTGGCAGGAAGTTGGCAGCTGAGGGAGCTGATTCCTGGCAAACCCTAGTTTGGCCCAAAACACAGGTCTGGCAAAACCACACTGCATGACATAGAGTGTGTCTAAGTGACCAGAAGAAAATCAATTGTGGAGAGAGGTTTATACAAGGTACAACATGTTGAGGAAACCCACCTGGCTTTCCCCTTCCCCCTCCATTCTGGCTGCTTGCAGGACTGCTTGGGAGAGATGCATCTGGCCAGGAATTTGAAAGGGCAGCGGTGGGACTGATTGAGTTTGGAGACTGAAACTGAGACCAGGAAACATGGGATCTGCAGGTGACTTAGTGGACTAAGAATTGGTGGCTCCACCACATGAGGGGAACCCAGGGGAGAATTCTGGGGTGCAGTCTTCCAGCATGGCCCTGAAGGTGCACTGATTTAAAATCTCCTGGCAAGTTGGCTTTCAGCAATTGGCCAGGAGATTTTAAATCAGCCTGGAGCCCTCCTAAGCCTAAACCCCATCTCCAGGAGTTCCACCCAAGGATTATCTCTCTCCCTCTAGCAATGCCACTCTGAGGGTAGAGAAAGCATCACATTCCAGATGACCCCACCTAATACTGCTGAGAAGGGAAACCGAGAACCTTTTGAACTTCAATGGAAATAATTTGTTAACTTTTTATTGAAGATCTTTTTTTCTTTCCTCCTTTTTTCTTTTCTTTTCTCTCTCTCTGTGTGTGTGTGTGTGTGTGTGTTTTCTGTGTTTGCCTAAAAAAGACTGGAAGACCAATGGTACAGAATAGAGAACACGGAGACTAACCCAC